TCACAGTAAAATTCATTTTATCCTGGCACACACAAGTATACCTCATGTTAACTTTGATGGAGGCTGAAGGCTGAGTTGGTCTCTCAGATTCTATTTAAGTTGTCTATTTTGGGTTAGTGAAAAGTAAATGGCTAAAGAGAAGACATTTGTTCAAATAATTGTAAATCCAACTTACCTCGAGTGGCATTAGTCTAATTAGTGTTGCAAAGCACTGAGTAGCCATGAAACGTACACTGTCCGTCTGATCACTCATTCTACCCAGAACTGGGACCACTAGGAGAACAATATATGGAACAATACCAACATCTAGCTGTTCCATTACACCTGGATTAATCATTAAGGAAACTCATTTTTACTAGTTCAGAACCTACTTTACATTAAAATACAATGTTGTAGTAATGGTTGTGAGTAACATTTCAACTAGTCATAGCAAGCAGAATAGAAAAAAGTGCACTAGCATCAAAAGCAAAAGCAGAAGTCTTATCCATCCATATAGCTGGAGGATGCCTAAAGGGATCCACATTAATGCTTGCAGCCCTAGATGACCTAAGCACATACAGCAGTATGGACAAATACACAATACCAATGTAAATTACACTGAGATATTTATACTTATAAATTACACCAGAATCAGAATGGAAAGGCATGCAAGGTAGATTTTAAAGGAGCAGAGCTAGCTATTTTTGTACTCTGCAGCTAGGGGCAGCCAGCAGGGGCTGGGGCCAGGCAGGGCAGCAATCATGGAGCTGGGGTGGTAACCCCTGCGGGGGCCATTTGGCCCCTGTGGGGGGGCTGTTACCCGTGGTGGGGGGCAGCAAAACATATAGGTATTTAGAATTGATTTTATGATAATGATAGAGACACTGCTAGGCATCCAAATTACTTTAACACTGTAGATATATCAACAAAACATGCCCAACTGATCACTGTGTCTCTGTCTCTCACTCTCTATATATATAGTGGTCATAGAATCACAGGGCTGGAAGAGAACCAGAAGGATCATCGGGTCCAGCCCCCTGCATGAGCAGGAAAGACATCTGGGGTCAGATGACTCCAGCTAGGTGACTGTCCACTCTTCTCTTGAAGACCTCTAGGGTACATGATTGCACAACCTCTTGGGGGGAGCTTATTCCATAGTATGGATACCCTAGTTCTAAAGAAGTTTTTCCTAATGTTCAGCCTGAAACTATCTTCCAGGAGTTTTTGGCCGTTGTTTCTAGTTTTCCCCCAGGGCGCCCTGGTGAACAGTTGCTCACTGAGCCCCTGATGTACGCCTCTGATATAGCGGTAAGTCACAATCAGATCCCCTCAGAATTCTTTAGGCTGAAAAGCCTGAGATCCCTCAGTTTCTCCTTGTATGGCTTGCCATGCAAGTCCCTGATCATATAGGTGGCCTTTCTTTGGACCCTCTCAAGCTTTAGCACATCCTTGTTGAAGTGTGGCACTCAGAACTGGATGCAATACTGCAGCTGCGGCTGCACCAATGTTGAGTAAAGCAGGGGAATCACTTCTGTGGATTTACTGGAGATGCACCGGTTGATGCATGCCAGAGTTTTATAGGCCCTAGCAGCTACTGCATTGCATTGCTGGCTCATATTCATGCTGGGGTATATTGTTACCCCCCAGATCCCTTTCATTTGTAGTGCTGGTCAGGTTAATGAAGCCCAGCCTGTAGGTGTGCTGGGGGTTCTTCCTTCCTAGATGCAGCACATTGCATTGCTCTACATTGAACCTCCTCTGGTTCTGTTCTGCCCAATATGCCAGGCTGTCTAGGTCTGCTTGTATCTGCAGCCTATCTGCGGGCGAGTCCGCACAACCCCATATCTTGGTGTCGTCCGCAAACTTGGAGAATGGGCTTTTCACCCTTCATCCAGGTCACTGATGAAGATACTGAACAGCACTGGGCCAAGTACCGACCCCTGGGGTACACCATTGCCCACATCTCACCACGACAACACCAATCCTCTGCATCCGACCCTGCAACCAGTTTCACACCCACTTGACAGTCCTGCAGTTGAGCTCAATATCTTCCAGTTTTCTGATCACTACCTCGTGGGATACCAGGTCAAAGGCTTTCTGGAAGTCGAGGTATATGACGTCCACTGCTTTTCTCTCGCCCAGGTGACAAGTCACCTGACACGGAAAGAAATTAGGTTGGTCAGACAAAACCTGCCTGCAACAAAGCCATGCTGGCTGCCATTCAGTATCATTCCTTCTGCAAGTTTGTTACATATAGTATCTTTGATAAATGTTTCTAGGATTTTCCCTAGAATAGAAGCTAAACTAATTGGCCTGTAGTTTCCCAGGTCTTCACGCTTCCCCTTCTGGAAGATGGGCACAACACTGGCCCTCTTCCAGTCCTCTGGGATTTCTGCAGAGGCCCGTGATTTTTGAAAGACCTTTGCCAGGGGCTCTGGGATTAGTTTGGCCAACTCTTGCAGCACTCTTGGGTGGAGTTCATCCAGTCCTGCTGATTTATGTGTCTTATTTCTTTAGCTGATCATACACCAGTTCTATGGCCATAGTGGGAACAGTGTCAATCCCGCCCTGCACGCTCTGTACCCTACGTGGCATGTTGCTCCCCTTAGTCTTGTGAAAGACTGAGGCAAAGTAGTCATTTAGGAGTTCCATTTTTTCCTGAGTGGTAGTGACCAGGTATCCCGAGGCACTAAGCAGCAGCCTCACACTCCCATTAGTTTTCTTTTACTCCCTATGTAGCTAAAGAAGGACTTCTTGTCCTTGATTCTTGTAGCTAGTTTTAGTTGTTTCTGTCTTAGCTTGCCTAATCGGTTTTTTTACAAGTGCGGGCCATTGTTAAGCAGTCTTCCTTAGAGACTGCCCCAAGCTTCCATTGTTTGTATGCCTTTTTCTTTTTCTATAGGAGGGCTGCAACTTCCCTGCTTAGCCAAGAGGGGTTTTTTTTTGTGACCCTTCTGCTACTTTTTCTGCGTAAGGGAATGGGGATAGTCTTTTGTTTTAATTGTGGAGGAATATGGATTTCAGAGTATTTTACAAAGCGAGTTTGGGATTTTTTTTTTTTTTTTTGATTTTTTTTTTAAATCAGTGATTTTTCAGTTTTCCAATAGGGAACACCAGAATTCCTGCTAGGGAGGCCAGTGACAGGACCCTGCCTGCTCAGAGCTGGCACCTTGGACCCAGCTGGCTGTGGCTGACCTCCTGGACAAATGGGGCCAGGAGGGCATGCTTTGACAGTTCAAAGCTGGCCACCACACCCGGAACATCTTCCAGGCATGGCAGTAGTGCTGCACAAAGGCCAATCCTGCAGCCACAGCCCACTGGCAGCTGGCCCAGGGGGGCAGATGCTTCTACTTGCTGTGCAGTCCCCATCCGGGTCTGGCAGGTGCGCAGCATGTCAGTCAGGCAGCAGCCCCCATTGCCAGTAGTAGTTGTCCCCAGGTACCAATTGGCTGGGCCCCAGAAACTCCTGGAAGTGAGTAGCCCTGAGCTACTTGCCAGGGCAGCTTTTTGCACTGAGGAGGCCAGGACAGGTGCTGGCCCTGGGCTCTAGCTCCCCCTGGCTGCAGATCTGGGAGGAGCCAGGCAGGGTTATTTTGTCCCAAGTGGCACAATTCGCTACCAACAAAGTGCATGTCGGAGCATTTGCACTGCTTCTGTTTGAGCTGCTGTAAGTGAACATGCTTGCATGTGTGGACACGCCCTAAGGGGGGAAAAGCAAGCTGCATCTTGGATTCAAGTACTGACTGGCCTGGGGCAGCCAGCAGCTAAGCTCCAGCTTCAGCTTGGGCTCAGAACTGAAGCTGGAGCTAGGCACCAGCTGTCCTGGAACTGGGTGGCTCATATGGAGGGGGAGGCGACACGTGACCAGGGGAGCGTAGGAGAAACTGCGGTGGTGGGTGGGAAGAGGAAGAAGAAAGAGTACGCAGGATGGGCAAGTGGCAGGGGTCTGGCCCTGCACTGTAGGGTGGAACCAATTTAAAGATACCCTCTCCAAATAATTAGATTCTATTCTGTAGTTTTTCAAGTATAGATTCTAATTAATTAGGGAGTCATCTTAAATATACTGTTCCAAAATGGATATATGCAGACAACCTGTAAATAGGTCTAACTTGTACCTGTAGAATTTTACACCTCATTTTTTCAGGGTCAGTTCTCCATCACATTGGGCAAAGTTATCCCAGTTGTCTGCCCACTTTAAAAACAAAAACCCAGGCAACCAGCTATAGTACCAAATGAACGAGCTTCATTTGTCAATGTCCTGAGTCATTAGTGCAAAGGTTTCCCTGCCAGGAGAATCTGGTTATTTAGCCAAAGGAACCCAAAGAAATCTGAGAAAAACAATGCACTTCTAAAAAAAAGACTATTTCAAAAAGCTTTTCCTCAGCAAAAAGTAAATATTATGGTAACATCTGAAGTAAAACTTCAGTTCTTATTAGAAGTTACTATGGCAAATTTGGAGACTAAAAACAAAAACGAGGGATTTTATTTAGTCCCTGAAATGGACACCTTCATAAAACCTAGGCTATGAAGTTGCCTTACTCACCAATATTTTTTAAAATTTACCTTAAGTAACAAAAAAATTCTGACTAGATGCACAAGGTACCTGTCTAGCTGTTTTTTTCACTATATTAGATGTTTCCATTCCCTCTTTAAGAAACTGCACAAATCTGAGATTTAATACATAATTAGTGATGAACTAGCATAAGAGTATTGCCAAAAATCTTGAGGTCTTATCACACTGCCTGCAGCATCTGCTACAATGCATGTTATTACTAAGTGCTACATAACTCAGATATTGAAATTAACTAAGACCAAAAACGGAAGAAAATGTCAAGCAGAAAATACATTGCAGAATGCAATTACATTCCACTAAAGCTCACTAGTTTAAGATTTTACATTCTAATCCCAACTAGTAAAAGTAATACGGCATTATACTGGCTAATGGTTTTCCTTCTGTTTCAGATTCATGAATTAGTGTTGGCTCATTTGTTGTGCTACATTAGATGTAGTTAAAATCAATACAAAAAATACTTTAAATCATCTAGAAGTTAAATATTCTTTAGCTTTGAAGAGTTGTGGTAACTGTTCATTATGTTTTAATACAACTGTTAAAATCTTTAAAGGTGAAGACAAATGGTTAACAAAAAGATGCACATTCTTTCTCTAGTCAGCTAAGCAAATTTACTTTGGTTATATTAAAGCTACTCTCTTAAACAGCAAAAAAGTATTGCATATTTTTTAACTCTGATTTCATGAGTTAAGTACTGAGTCCTTTTGCTCCATGTTCTGCTGTAACTACAGTTTCTACTTTTTAAGGAATAATGTACATATTTGTTCATTTAAAAAAATGACAATATCAGAGATGCCAGCTAGGCAGGTACCTCAAGACAGTCATGTAGAACATGGGATATCTGAATTCCTGATACATCTTCTACTTAACACAGTATTTCAACATTTTGGATCCCATCAGCAGGATATAGACTAAAAGGCCAGATTACTGCTGCAGAACAGTAATGAAGTAACTTACTTGCAGTTATATTTCTTCCTTATTTTAAGCAGTAAGAAATTGGCTCATGTCAATTTTATGACTTACACAATGTTTATCTCACCTTTATCTAACTTTTGTAACTATGGGCCTCAATATTATTTAAGGAGTAGTAAATGCCAGATTCACTATATGCTATGCAATTCCCTTTTATCTAGGGCTGCGGCTTGTGAACACTGCGATGCTGGAGTGCATGGAGTGTCCCACACAAGCGTGAGGGGCTCCCCAGTGTTCTCCAGTGGACCTGGAAGTGGACCAGAAGTATTTATGGTCCACTTCCGGGTTTGCCGCTGAGCATGTGGAGGGCCCCCCCGTACTCCTGTGGGATGCTCCATCTGCCCCAGCATAGCAGTGTTCACCAGCTGTGCTAGTACCTTGTGGTACATAAAAAAATAAATAAATAAATAAAGTTGTGTCTGTGTTCCAATTGCTGATTCTCTGACTCGGCATCGAATCTTCAGATTTGGCCGAATCGAATCAGGGACAGTGATCTGAATCAACTAATCGAATCACTGTTCCCGATTCGGACTGAATCTGAATCATACAGGGCTTGCTTCACACGCCTATTTTTATCACTCTTTAAAATGTATTGCCTTTATATTTTTTGGACATCCATTTACTCATGTATTTAAGGGCAATTCTGCAATTCTCTTTCATGTTCTCACTACCAAAGCTTTACCCAATCAATTTCTTCAATAAGGACAACTGATTTAATCTGACAGGAAGCCCAGGATACCAGAAGGACCTATCACAACCTTACACTTCAATTATCTTCCCCTAATTATTCCCTAAATCATGCAATGAAGAACAGACTTCTAAATGTAATTAAAAAAGAAACAAGTAAAAAAAACCACGAGCAAGGATACAGGCAAGTGCTTCAATTGCACCCTCTTGTTTGGTGTTGTCATCTATTGCTCCCAGCCATGGAAGAACCTTTTCTAAAAAAATATTCATGGTTTCCATGGTAGCTATTTTGCTCATGACACCTACACAACGAGCAGCCATGTGTCTCACTGCAGTACTGGGATGCTGAAGGCACATGTAAAGATGAGGCAAATGTTGTATCAACTGGAAAGGAAAAAAAATAGAGCTCAATATTTATTAAATGCCAATTATTTAATGATTTTATTTTAAAATGAATATTTTCCTATTACACCATTTTTGGTACCTTAGTCAATGTAATAAAATGCTTAAAACTGTAAGATCTACTTTTTCTCACTGAAGAGTGGTTTCAGGAGAGAGAGAAAGACTGCCCACACAAGTCTAATATAAGCCTTTAATTTTCTGGGACATAGAAGAAGTGATACTCTTCAGCACAGAAAAATTTCAAACAAGCAAGATATATCTATGAAGGTTTTAATCAGATTTTAAAATTAAAGCAGATCTTTATCATTAGGATTTTAGGAAATACTTTTTTCATCTTGAAACATACCATTTTAGTTAGAGCTGCAAGCCACTTGTTTTTTTAAGAATCATAATGCTTAAATATTGAAAAATTGAGTCTAACTTCAGGCTTTTGTTTTTGAATTTTCTGACCTCTATTTAGAACTGTCTTCAAAATTAGACAATCTTGCATGCTAACTTACTACACAAGGAAACACTGGTTACCTCTAATCCAGTCAAGGTAGTAAAGATTGCTTTACATTCCTGAGCAAACTATAGCAATTGCTTATACAGAAATGTAATATTTGACAAATATTTACAATATGCTTTTTATCTCTGCTTTAATAGCAAACAAGAGACAGACCCAAATGACCAGTTACCTTCTACAAATGAAAGCTGTTTATTCTATTGTTCTTGGAATCACACATGGTATTCACAATATAATTACATTTATGTCTGTTTATCTTCAGGATTCAGAACAGATGGAGTCAAATTTACCCTTATTTGTAAATATAATGTATTATTTCTAGATTGTATTAAACGTAGCTGGTACTACCTGAAAAGTCAAGCTCCTTTTACTAATGAAAAAAGGCTGTCTCATTTGGTAAGGAGACTGGTATAAACTATTTGAAGGCGTAGATAAAGTGATGGAATGGAAGTGGTGTGTTTGATCACAAAACGGCTTTGGCATATTATACTCTACCAAAGGGTGGAGCTGAACATCCATGGAAGCTGCTGTTGTTTCAAAAACTTGGAGGGAATTCACCACCTCTTGGGCAGAAGTATCTCCTTTTTCCAATAATGTCTTTCGATCTGTTACAAAAGTTAAAATATGGTTAGTTTCAGATTAACACACATTTTAACTTGTAATCATAACACAAAATGTACATACCAAAGTTATCTGTGTTAATATTGATCCTTAATGGACCAACCATAGCATCCCAGAGATGTGGTAATCCTGTTGCCATTTCAGCACCAAAATGTTTAGCTATAGTAGACAAGGCAAATTCAGCTCCTCTCCTCTGCACAACATATGGTTTCTGAGCCTAGAATAAACAGGATTCAGAGAATAAGATTAGGAAAGATTTACTTCATTTTTAAAATTTGTTACATTCAAACAAGTCTTACTGTTTAATCTATGAAGTTGACCAAAAATAAGAATTTTGCATATGACACCAAGCTGGGGGGAGTAGGGCTAGGATTCAGCGGGACCTCGACAAATTGGAGGACTGGACCAAAAGAAGTCTGATAGGCCGCATCCAGACAAGTAGGGATGTGTGGTACCTAGCGCTGCAGACCTGTCTGTGGCACCACACACCACAAATACAGGAGTTCTCTGTGCAGAGCTGAGGGGTTTTATGACCTTGGGAGATCCTAGGTTAAAAAAAAACCTGTGCCTTAAAAAAAGCAGGGCAGTGCACATGGCAGCAGCATACACTGCTCAAAACTGGAGCCTGGCCTGCTGGAGCCAGTCTGGCTGCTGGCCAGGCTCCCAGCTGCAGGAGCACCACAGCTGCAGTCCCCAAGGCCTCCAGAACTCCAGCTAAGGCCCCAGCTTCCCTTACCCAACCCGGGGTAACCTGCTGTGCACCAGAGGGTGCACAGCACAAGCATTCCCCAGGGACAAGCAGCAGTGATACAAGGTGTATTGATTCATTCCTTCCCTACTTATATTATTAGCTATTATCAGCACTGTATTAAATGGTTTTCCCACATAAAAGTGAAATAATTAAATATCATATGAATATTAATTGTTCTTAAGTTTATCCTGCTTGTAACACAAAAATTAACCCGAACTAATTTTTTCCAAGAGAAACTACTGAGCTATCCCCGATGTAAACTCATCTGTAACACAGGCTGAGAAAATATTAAGATCGTTAAGAAACAGTTATCAAGATTAAAAACCTCTGATTTACCTCATCAAGTTCTGTAGGGATGTTTCCACTGCTGCCAGTAGGAAGGTCTGGAATTTGGGCTTTTGGAGCCTTTGGTGTAGGACCTCGCCTACTTGTGATGGCAAAAGCAGCTTTTTGATGTCTGTATAGTGTTATTATTCCTCTGTGCTTGGTAACAGTATGATGCATCCCATCTCTATCAGAGTTGAGTCCTATTATAAAAGAATAAGGTTGACAATTTATTTTAAAATGGAGTATCAAAAAGGTAGGTGGCGTTGGTAACAATAGCCTATTATACGTCTACACCTCTTGATTGATATTAGAAAGAGTAACTTCATTATGCTGATTTTATAGATGGGAAACAAACTCACTGGACTCAACTTGCCAAGATCACACAGAAAGTTGGTGAAAGAGCCAAGCATGTTACCCAGGTCCTCCTGATTCCCAAATGAGTGCTCAATCCACTAGTTCACAGTGAAAAACACCAGAAACAACGCAAGTGTCTTGTCATAATTTTTAAGACTTTTTTCTTTTTTTCTTCATTTTTTTAAGTCTCACATTTTATCTAAATTTTATGCTGCTCCCTTTGCATTATTTACTCTAAAATTCAAGGTGCAAAATTATATTTTGGACACAACACAGATATTGTTTACTAGCCTTATTTTAAACTGTCTGTTAAATAGTAAAAGCAATATTAAAATACCACTTAGCCCTAATTTTAGGTTTGATCAGATAAAAAGTATATGTATAACATGTTCCCTAGAACACCTTCTATTCTAATAGTGCAAAAGGAACAAATGTACAAGTTAAATATCAAGGTTTACCTTTAGAATTTTCCTGGCTGCTTTGAGGCTGTGCAGGACATGATGCTAAAGGTGTAAGATGTGGGTCCACACAAAGTGAGCTGCAGAGGTTTTTTACAATCTTTGAATTGGGGCAGGGAGATCTTGGTGTACATTGCTGAAGTAACTTGGCTATACATAAAGCTGCATAGTTTTGTACCAGTGTATTTTCTTCTTTTTTGACAGCTTCCATCAAAGGTTTTATAACAGGATTTAGTTTTTCTGGCAATTGTTGCAAGCTCACAACAGCACAGGCAGTGAAAGTATGGACTCGCAAATGTAACACTTGCCATTCCTGATTTGTTTCTGTAACAGTCATTTGGACTTGTTGTCGTTTGCTGTCTAACTGTTGTAAAACTTTACTATTCAAATTAAAGGGAGATGTAACTTCACTGAAAACAGTAGTAACCTAGTTTAAAAAAAGATAAAGCAAATTACTTATAGCAAAGCAGATCACTTAAAAGCTGCAGTTAGAAGAATTCTGGAAATCTCTTAAATAAAGAGCAAATTTACACCAACAAAAAATGGCTTCAAATATCCCCAAACCACTTGTGAATTTGGGCTGAATGCATCAAGTAGTTTAATCTGACCCCTTCTCCCCCCACGGCATTTTCAGGTCTACACTTGTAATACTAAAGGAGGGCGAGGTTTCAGTGGGGGAGGGCACTCTGTTGTTCTTGGCAAATGGTACCCATGCGCTGTGATTTCCCACTGTGCACTCAACTGTTTTCTTTCATTTGACAGATTTCACGTTTTGAGAGTTTTGTTTCGTGTTTATCTCACCACCAGTTTAACTTCCCCCTTTCTAAGTACTTCCCATTAAATCATTTATCATTCCACTTCTGGGTACTCATTCCCACATGAACCTTTTCCCTTGCTTTTCAACAGTTTTACTGACAGAACCTCTCACCTTGCTCTTCACCCACCTTGGGGAAAGGGACAGTACCAAAAGGATTCTTCCCAACTCCAAAGCCCAACAAAGTACTCTTCAGTGCCTACCCAATTCCTGTCAGCTTTGCAGCAAAATCCTGTAGCAAGTCACTAAATCTAGCTGAGAACTTTGAATTTCCTTGATCTATGCTATCCTGGGTCTAGGCAGGAATAACCCGCTAAGGAACCTTGATTCCCTGCTCAGCTGGGGGCCAATTTTGACCATGCATGTTCTGCAGTGAAATAAACACAATAGGAAAAATAAAAAATACTAACATAAAATGGTAAAGAATGAAGAAAGATGTTACAGACTGCCATAAGAAGTGGAATGCTGATGAAGGAAGCTTAAGTACATAAGGGAGGAAGAGGAAATCTATGGTTGGCAGTGCTAAGATTATTATAAAAGGAAATCCAACAAATATCATAGGCCCCATACTAAACTGAGTTTTTGCTGTATTTATAACAAAAGTCTGTTCTGAGTTTTGGAAAAGAAAAAAAGACAGGATTATATACTCAGATGATACACTAGAAATAAAATGTTAACAAGCCCAGATAACTTGTACCAAAAATGATTAAAAAATTGGCTAAGCAGATTTCTGTTCTGCTTCTGTTAATTTTTTAATAAACCTTGGCATACCAGTTGAAGTTTCAGAGGACAGGTCTACTCGAGAGCTATCCAACTTCTGGACAGCAGGGCCCATGTGAGTTGCCAGTGGCTCTGCTCCCAAACTCTCCCTCACCATGTGTGAAGTCTACCCCTTTCCCAGCAGCAAAAGCAGCTCCTCTAACCACGTTTATACCCTCTTCCTGTTCTGGCCATGTGCCCACCTCCAGTGTAGGTAGCACCACTCCCACAACGTAAGCAACCTAGCTCCCTCCCCTGCTATGCACGCAGCAAAGTCACTGTACTACACATGCAGCTTGGGCACTCCAGCCCTGCCCACTGCATTGCTCCATCCCAGAATGGGGGCAAGTAGAAGCTGGAGGAAGAGCCTAAACAATCCACCCAGCTGCCATGGCAGGAGCAATGAGGGAAAGGGAAGTGAGGACTAGACAGGAGACTATACACCACATGCTAACTCTTCATGAGGCCCTCCAGTTAGAACACCTGGTCTACAGTGAACAGTGTTTGACACCTGGCACTGCTTCATGGAGGCTCTCCCCTGAATCAGAAATGGCCACTCAGCAATGTTAGTTAGTATAAACTGTTCTGTTTTTGGTTCAAGAGGTAGCCTGTGTACAGCAGGCTGTGTTTAAGGGTGTCATTCCCTGGCACAAATAACAAAGCTTAAGAGTGTTAATAGTCACAGCCAGTACTCCAAAAGGACAAGCCAGATGACTCAGGTAAAACAGTTTGATTAGGTTGTAATATACTTATAGTTTTTATAAGGCATTTGACTTACATTGCACTACACCAATTAAAAATGCATCAATAATATGCCGTCTCAGTATAGCCAAAGTTAAAGGAATAAGTCAAGCTGTCCGATAAGTATTAATAGTGAATCTTTGGCAGCAGGGGATATTTTCTACTTCTGCACACCACTGCTGTGCAAATTTCTTAAATGCAGACTTCTCAATCATTTATAAAAGTACTAATAAAAATGGAACCAAACAAGTTAAACATCCTTCCCCATAAAGTCTTATTTGTATGTAATATCAGTTTTAGCAAAACTAGCTTTTAAGTAAATCAAATCTCATACAATGCTTTCAAGAAATTTACCTAAATGGATTTTGATAGTTACTTTTATAGTGGTAATTATATAATTTTAACAAATGAAATACTTTAAAACAGAAAAAAGTATTATGCAGCTAGGTCCTTTGGTTTGTCCTTTCTAGTTCACAGGACAGAGTAAACATCTGTTTCATATACATGCCAGAGAAAGAGGTAACGTATTAAAGACCACAATACACGTGTAACTTTTGAAAGATACTGTATATTTTCAATATTATTGTCATGCATATTTCAAATTAAGACTAGAGGCTACCTATCAATTCAAATACTCACCAGCTCATTAGCTTGATCTATTGTAAATACACTGCAGTTTACTCTGTTCCCAATGTCAATATGTGCATCAGCTAGTGATGAAATGAATTGTTTACATTCATTTTGCATTCGGGTAAAAGGAACAGCAATTTCATCATAATACAGGTGCTCAGAGAGGACTTCAAGTAAGCGAGGGTGCACAGAAAAGACAATAGTTTTACATTCCTAAAACAAAACATGAAATTTGTATTTAAGTGTACATACTTGTTGCTTTGGCTCAGTTAAAGTTAAGAAACAAAAGATCTAGAGATTACTGAAAATTTTAAAGGGATCTGATGTAGGTGAACATGATGAAAACTGAGGAAGGCAAAAGAACCAATAATTAATTTTTTATGAAAATTAATACTCAGTAAGCTCTACTACTCACTGGATTTTACATGGAAGATGACTTATGGAACAGTAATCAAAACAAATTAAGGGATTATGTAGTTATGCACACAATGTTTAACTTAAAAAGAAAGCGTTCAGCTAGAATAGATGTACTAAAAATAAAACTTGTAGTAAGTTGTTGAACCACAGTCCTGACAGTTGTCTTTAGCCATTAAAATACTTTAGTTATTCTGTTCCATTGTCACATTTCCTCATTTAGCAAGTATAAATACTGTTTTGGCTTTTCTATTGTTTGTTTGTTTTTTTCCCTCACAAATTATTTGAGTAGCAGATGACAGAAACTTTTTAGATTAACCTGGTAAACCATTCACATTTTTCTAAAAATGTCCTACCTTTTGTAAGGCAGCCCACTCGCAGATGACTAAAGCGACACTAATCCGTTGCAAGGCAGACTTGGAATTCAAATGGAAAAGCAGTAACTGGGATAGCGATTCAGCTGGCTTTACTTCTTGAGTAACGGTATTTACGCTCGGCTCACAAATACAACAGCAAAGTGCTCCTAACAATCTTAACCAAAAAAAAGAAAAGAAAAGAGATCATTATTGCAATTCATACAAGTTAAATTTCAGCAAAATATTGCTGTATTTAGAGTTTGCTTAGATTTAAAAAATAATTTATAAGCCACTTTAAACTGTTTTTTTGTATTTTCAGTCAACTGACTTTGCTGCCATCATCCGTGCTCGCATAACAACATAATCCCTGGTTACAGGATCTTCTGTAATACTGTCTGCACCAGCAATATACTCCTGTATCACCTCCTTGGCCTGGGTTAGATTTTGACGTAGCTTGCCACCTGTTTTTTCCTAGGAAATATACACAGATGTTTATTTAGTAATAAAAATGACCTGGTCCATTGCAATTACCAAGTTTAAATGCATTTAAGATCAGTACAGAAAATATGAATGCATATTTCCAAATTAGATTGTTCTGGTTTGGTATTTCTTGCATTCCTACATAGACTGGATTGTAAATAAATATCTAATCTTGTATCACTTTGATCACGGACTTCTGAAAAGATTTACTGGTCATACTGTAACCTATCATCTGGCACTGTGCCCCTGCTGTGTATTGGTCTGGTTGTTTGGATTAAGACCTACTGTCTGAATATGTCATCAGAACAAAACAGAAAGAAACATCTTATGATTTTCTCAGTAAGAAAAGTAATCCTGTTAAAACTGACTCAATTCTGCAAAAAAAGAATTTGAGGAAATAATACTATGGCTAACGCTGGTAAGACATGAAAGCATGGCGAAACAAAGCAACCAGGAGATTATTAAAAACTACAGAAGGTTCACAAGTAATATTCACCAATAAAGGTACATTTATTGGAGAGAAAATTGAACTATTTGCCATAGTTTCTCAACTTGTGGTACGCGTACCCCTGGGGGTACGTGAGACATGCAGGGGGTACGTGGGTACCCCAACACACTCTCTCTCTCTCACCCTCTTTTCCCCTCAAAACCATGGCAAAAAATTTGGTGTGCCACATGTTGCACGGTGCTTTAAATTTCCCAGTAATAATTTGGTGGGCTGTGCTTTGCACGGCACTGGGTTCAGCCTTCCTAGCTTTGGCCTACATCACCTCTAGTCCAGGTACGTAACTTGAGTTGTGCACCCCTGGTATAAAAGATGGCAACCCTATCCACACCAGATCAGACATCTGTTATATCACAGGGCCTTATATACACAGCCCTTCTATCAATATAGTTTCATAGATGGCACACATTAATCTGTAAATATAAAATCCCCTGGAAAATTGAGTGTTGGGATACTTATTAACATTTTCAGAAGTTAGGGTGTACTTGCTACTTAAAAGGTTGAGAAACACTGTTTTATGCAGTTTGCATAACTGATGCATTTTGATAAGTTTTGTAACCAAGCAGTGTATCTATTAAATGGTTTAGAGCGAAATGTTACCACTATATCAGAGGTGGGCAATTATTTGGGCCTGTGGGCTACATAAGGAGTTTTGTTGAGCTGTCACAGGCTGGGTCAACACATCCCCCCCTCACAACAACTCACCAAAACTCCCTATGTAGGAAGGGGCTCCAGGAGGGAAGAGAGCAGTGTTTGTGAATGGTATGGGCAAGCAAGGGTCAGAGGACAGAGTCACAATCCACTGCCCACATGCCCTTGTGATGGGTGCAGGTTCAATGGGCAAAGGTGTGCAGGGAGCGGACTGCAGTTCTGCCCCAGCCTCGGCTTCATACTGTCACTGCCCCAAGATCACAGGGTCTCCTTGGCCCTGCCTGCCTGTCTTGCTTCCAGACACAGCTCCCTCCCAGTTTGCATCCCTATTCCAAATGCATGGTGGAGCACCCTGCCTGCATGGGTCCTGCCCCCAGCAATGGATGCAGGGTGGATGGGCCAGAGTGCCTGGGCAGTAGGGCTGGGTCCAGCACTGGTAGCTGGAAGGAGCTGTGCTGGGGCTGCTGGGAAATAAAAAGTCTAGCTCCACAGCCTGGGCTGTCCCTTGCACCTGGGCCAGGTGGGACAGAAGGACCCGCTGTGGGCTAGACAAAATCCTTTGTATCCAGCCCGCAGGCCATATTTTGCCCACCCCTGCACTATGTGCTATCTATTCATGGAGTAAATGAAGAAGGGTTTGAACACCATTTAAACTAAGTTTTATATAAAAATCTATGACATAATTTGACAGATGTCAGTTATCTCTTATCTAGCAATGAAAAAAAGTAGACTAATATCCATATTTTTAGATTCAAAATATCCCCCCAAACAGTTGCCATTTTAAGTGTTTTGTATGGGACCAGATTTTGCTATTCAAGCACTGGTCAAAAAAACTAATGCAGAATGCACCATTGCAAGTAGAAATTTCACTCCCATGAACAACTCAATATATAAATAATGGCTTTTGCCTTCTCTGTGGATCACTAAGGGTATCCATTAGTTCCAACAGCTTCGAAGTCTGTACCACAGGTGTATGGTGATAACAGCATTTCTCCTTTTTGCAAGAGGCCAGTTACTAGTGTCACAGCACCATAATAACGATCAATTTATTTGACTCCACAAAAAATGTTTTGCAAACGTATTTCCTTTTACCTTTGATCTCGCTTTTACTTCTAACAACATATTTAAATCAATAGGTAAGTGAGAAGGTTGCATCATTAAGCAGAGCCAAGCTCCCATCCAAGGGCAAGCAGCTGCTACCAAATATTGTATTGGTGCTTTGTTTAACAGTTCCAGCCACACCTGGGGGGGGGGAAATGCACATATTAGTATAAAGAAGAAATATATTGTGTTATCTATCTAATTTTTTGACAAAAATGATCTTTAATATCGAAGAAATCTGACAGGTATGGTGCTCTTACAGCAACATGAAATAAATTACAAAACAGCAAGCAGGTCATACAGCTACAACAGAGCATGGTATAAATGGTAAGATTTAACAAACATAGCATGGTAATACATTAACAAATAAATACCTTATGAATAAGGTCAAGAATCTCTTGGTTGCTTTCCAAAATACAAAACTGAAAAATGTGTCTCAACATATCTTGCAGAATTGGAGTCAGCCAGGTTGAAGAACTCTGAAGACAGGCATGCAATGAGTATGAGAAAACTTCAACATATGATGTAGTTTAAACATACATTGTTTTAGGTTCTTCTGTTATGGAATATTATAGCAGAAATAAGCTACAAACATTTTCTGTAAGTCTTTGAGTCCTAAAGGGACTCGCAAATTATCACTTACATCTACATGTTAACAGTTAAGCGGTACTGCAAGTTCTTACCTGGTCTTGGGTGGATAACAGTGTAAATAAAGTTTCCAATGCTGCCTTTCGAACAGATGATATGGTGTGATGCAAGAATGGCCATACACGTGGGACCAAAACTGTAAGCGACTGCTGGATACTGGTAAATAGCACGGACACAGGGGCAGCAGGGAAAAAGATGCACACACAAGTCAGTCAATCGTACATCCAGATACAGAGTACAGCATTAAACTATAACTTCATGATGGTGGTCAACAGTTTATTTTGAGTTGCACCTTTGCTTTGTTTTAAAATAGCACGTGTTCAATTTGCATAAACTAAATTTGCCAGTTAATAAATAGTGAGGTCCTACTGTATTTATATGGGTGGTTGCTCTGGCTCCTTCAACACAAGTATGCTCGCTCTCTAATCATCTACCCAGAAATGAGCAAACATCACTGTAAAAGTTAGCCTACGTGTTTTAATTTTTGTGAAATTAGGAGTAGAAACTGAAACTATTACTTAGCTATATGAATTTCCAAGCAAAATAAGAGTTCTTAAATATCAACTGATCTAATCACAAGATATATGGCATAATGGGCTGTGTTAATGACAGTTGCAGCCTTGACTTGGAGTTTGTGATTCAGCACTGGCCTTAATTATTGGAAAATAAGTGTTCTGAATAATAGTAAAGGTCAGGAACAAGGATAACATTTGTAAAGGAGCTACTTATCTCAACATATAATTTATGACAACCATCTCTATATGAATTTAAAAAAAAAAAAAACAAAACCAAACTTTTAATGAGATTTAAAGAAGTCATTCCATAATTTAAGTTTTGTTTCTTTTAGAAGAATACTAGATAGTCTACAGCAAAAACCCCAAGGAAGAATTTTTCTTAATTTTTCCACTGAAAAATTACTGGATTCCTTGGCAATTATGAATTTAACCTTTTAAAATGAAACATAGTAAATTACTGTGATGAAGCCACATAAAGAAAAGCTTCCACTTCACATTAAAAAAAACAAAATACTTTATTAATGAAGCGCTGATTAATTTGAAACACATTTCACTAATGCTTTAATAGGCAGTGACCACAATTTTAAAATGTAATTTTTTGGTCCTGTGAATGAACAGCAGGCACGTGTGGTTGTGGGATGGAAAGAAACAGAAATGGAGAAAAAAGAAAAGTGAAAAAGGAGGCAGATGGCAAAACAAGAAAAAAAAAGAGCTAGAGATATAGACAGCAGAAGAGGATTTTATTTTTGTAGAAATTATATTCAATTTAATTTCCCAAAATACCCACAGTTGATCCTTCCACTAATGACATTTTTTTCACAGAAAACCTTCTCTTAAAAGCAGTCAGTCTTTACCACTAAACTGTCCTCCAGTAGATGAAAAAAAGTTGATTGTTAGTGTGCTGCCAAATGACATGAAGCATCATGAGTGGGAATGATAAGACAAGACAATTTTTCCTTATGTTTGACCCTTTCCTTTTGTAACAGATACAGTTGTAACAACATTTAATCAAGTAGGCAAAAAAAAAAAAAAAGACAGAAGGACTGGGGAGAAAGAGAGAATGGGGTACATTTACCAATATCCTTTGGGCCGAGGGTCAGCAACTTACAACCAGCATGCCAAATCCAGCCCACAGAGCTTCTGAATCTGTCCTGCAGAGCCAGAGAACTTTGCCTCTGTCCACGCCTGTGCTAAGGATGAGCAGCAAAGAGCTGAACTGTAGCCAGAAAGCTGGAAGCTCTGCCTGCATTGCTCCTACTCCCCCTGAGCAGAAGCTCAGGCCGAGCTTCCAGCCAGCAAGGAACTGTACCAGGGCTGGGCTACTTCCAGCTGTACTTGCACTGCAGCCAGGGAGAGGGGAGAAGCAGTGGCAGTAATGCAAATGTAGCCTTCAGCAGTCTGGCTGCAGTTCAGTTCCCTACTGGCTGGAAGCTGTGCTCACATTCCACCAGGTGAACACAAGGATGGGTGGGGGAGCTGGGAGAAGCAAAGGCAATGCCTAGCCCCAGCACAGGTGCAGGAAAGCCTTCTGCTCCGGATACACTGCTGAAGTCACCTGGGCTACTCTATGTGGTCTTAGCCAGCAGCTTACAAAAGGCTACCAGCCCATGCCCTAGGCCAGAGGTTCCCAAACTTTTTCTTACTGTGCACCCCCTTCCAGATTTACTAGCTGCCCACATACCCCTACCACCTTACGTTTTATATTTTAACCCCTAAAATATTATGAAAATTAAATCCACCATTACACAATTTCTCCCATGTACGCTGCCCAGAGATGTCTTGAGCACATCTGGACTCAGCTCTACTCCCCATGTCATGCTCCCCTGCAACCTAGGGCAGGGGCAGGCAGCAAAAGCTGGAGAAGGAAAGGAGATCCCAGAACCCCCAGCAACAATACAGGGAGCAGCAGCCAGGAGTCGTAACTTAATCCCTCATGGGCCATGTGTCCCAGAGGCTGCCAGTTAGACTACCCTGTAGTTGTCCATACACATCTGTAATTCTTCCGTTAGAGCTAGCAGGGTTAATCAACATTAAGACAGCATGATTAAGAATTCTACTGCAGAATTGCAGTTTCACAAGTAGTATCTTTTCAAGCTTTAATAGCCCATCTTAGATAGACAATACATTTTGAGGTTATATTTACTAGGGGGATAAAGAAGATGAAGCTACTAGTACATTTTTATTTAGCAGCCTTCATTTAAATTGAGATGATTTTGTTCTCAAATTCATAATAAATAGGTTAAAACAGACTTATCTTTTCAACACCATAATCAACAAGCAATATAATTTTCTGAGAACTTTGAATATCCCAATATGAAAGTACCTATTTCAGTTACAAAGCTTGTATCTGTGCAAACTAAACTATTACCTGCATTTTCGGACTTCAGGATAAGTTAGAAGGGAGGACAGAAGTGTCATGATACTGTTTGTGGAAGCTGTTAGATCATCCAATTCCAGAAGAGCATCCCATAATGTATTAAGAATAAAAGGCACCTAAGGAGAATAAGCAAAGGGACAGAATTTACAACTAACAATAAAGTCACACAATTAGAAAGTGTGCACCCGACTATCAATGTTGCTCTTCTATTTAGATCCAAAGTAAAAAATGCTGACAAAACCCACATCCCATTCACCTTTTGTGACTGAAGGTGAACAAGGCTTTCTACTACTGGTACCAAGGATGCTGCAGCAACAGCTCGGACATCATCATCAAGGTCTTGGAGACCTTCAATTATTGCAGGCAAAACTTTAGGCAACAAACTATTTATCAAATCCTGCAAAAAGAAAAGAAAATATTTTAGACAAAATAAGGAAGCATTCAAAACTGACCACCTTCTCAATGTCTATTTTTTTAACCAATGTGGTTGTGTAAACAAGAGGAAGGCAGCCCCAAGAATAGTCTAAATTTAAAAAGGAGCTACCACTCCTGGAAAAAGATTACATTAACTCCTTATAAAAGGAGTTAATTTTACCTGAATTTGATTTTGGTCATAGCAAAGTCTGCCATTCCTCATGTTTTTCTACAATTACTCCTTACTACTCCACTATTCTGGAGTGCTAAAAATTCTCAGTTGTGTTTCATGAAAGGTAAAAGAGAATAAGTCTGGAACAAGAGTGTCATACTCATCTGGCCTCACAGGCTGGATGAGTGACATGGAGCCAGTCCACAGGTTGGATCAGGCCCATGACCCGACACCCCCACCCATATATTGAACCTACCCAGGCCCTCCTGGGATCCAGACCCAACAGGCAGCACACACCCTGGGGTACATACATGGGATTGGGTCAATGGACAGTACTGGGGTTATGGGGCTTCATGGTCCTAGAGATTCCACCACCAAATTTATTTAATAGGTCACATATTTTAGACATAGGTTTCTACAAGGCAAGTTCACACACCACCTTCTTGAAAAGATCTTGTAGTGCTAAAATGTCTAACACAGCAAAAACAAGTGCAATTATAGCTCAGGTAAGCATGCCTATAATTGCTTTAATTTAGCTGCCACAAGTAGCAATAGTATAGAAAGAAGGCATGGCAGCATGGGCTTCAGAGTGGACTAACAATCCAA